TTGTCTTTCAATGCTCGGCTCAAACGCATCAATTGCGTTCGATACCGATCGCCTGTGATTGTTTCAGTCGGTTTTAACAGCTCATAATACACTAAGCCGAGCTGGTCCCACCAAATACAGAGCATAACCTTGGAGCTGTAAATATTCGGTTTGGCCGTCGACGTGGAAGCATGGCCGGGAACTTCCTAGGATTTTCTGCGCTTGGGGTTATCGTAATAAACCCATTTTTCTTCCCCAGTCACAATGCGATGCAGAAATCCCTTCCGTCTTTGCCTTTCAAGCAGCTGTTCACAAGCAAACAAACGCCGTTCAATATCTGTCGGCTTGCACCCAATTTCCTTGCTTCTAAATCATTCCCATGGCTTTGAAGCGTTTTAAAATGACTTGTTGAGTCATTCCCAATGATCGTGCCAATTCTTCTTGATTTTGACACGAGTCTTGATCAAGTAATGTCTCCGATTCTGCATTTTCGAAAACTTTCTCTCTTCCACCGCTATGCCGGTCTTCGACGTCAAAATCACCGTTCTTGAAGCGTTGAAACCACTCAGGACACGTTCTTTCACTAATAGCGACCTCACCATAAGTATTTGAGAGCATTCGATGAGCCTCACCCGCACATTTCTTCATATTGAAGCAGAAAATTAAAACCTCCAGCAAATGACGAGAATTTGGCTCGTAAACTGACATTTTCAATCGAGAATAACTTCATGATGCAGACACAAATCGACTAATGTTTCTATGGGATTATGTTGACAGATTGACAGATGCCCAAGTTTATTGTATGACGTCTATGATCTATTTATTTCAACCACCACTTACCGCTAAAGCCATCTATAGGAAAACGGCGGAAGCAAAGTTGTACACCTAATATATGCATCAAATGAAAAAGTTAATCTAAATGGTACTTTTATCAATTTATGTGATAAAAACTGAATGACACGTATAAGAAAACTGTTGTATCAAACTAAATAATGAAACCCAAGTGGTACTATTTTTATTAATTTATATATAGGGTGTCCCAAAAAGGTCGGGACACCTAAATATCTCGGGAAATATAAGTTTTACAGAAAAGTGTTTCAGACAAAAGTTATATCATTTAAAAATATCTATTTACTGATCCTATCAGTTTAACCTTGGGTTGCGTAGCCAAGGTCAGGTCAAGGTTATATTAATTTTCTTAAATAGAACACCCTATTTTTGATTCAAGAATCTAATAGCTGATGTCGAGAGCTTTCCAAAACGCTATAATGAAATATTTTTTTATGAAGTACTTTTCAAGTTATAATGCTTCAAAGTTACAGTATCGCCGGCATTAGCATTATCCAAAATATTTAATTTTGGAGACTGTCCAGTCAAGACGAGATCGGTCGGTGGTCCGTGAATCTTTACCTTCAATTAACGCACAAACAAAAACATAACGTAGCAAAATCGTGAAGGTCTCCACACAAAAACATCCGTAACACGTTACGTTTAGTTTTCCAGTGCATACTGCATTTTCTTTACTATCCGAACTTCAGACATGACGAATTGACAATTCATACCGATCACTGTTTAAGTTCGAATTGTTCGAACTGTCTGAACAATTCGAATCAAATGCTCATTTGTTGGAACTTCGAACTGTTCAAATAGATCGAATATTCAATGTGTTCGAATCTTTTATCTGAGCGATCTGTGTGTGATTCAGCCGGATAAATTATTTCAAAATTAATTGATTTAAAATATTTTTCATATCGTTTGAAATATTTTCCCTCACAGATTCAGTATTCGTTTTTATTATTTTTCATCTACGATGGCTTATCTTTCAGAACGAGAGAGAATATCTCTTCTCATGATGCGAGGATGGGGTGATCGTCAAAGATCGTACAATGAAGTTAGGTAGATTTTTAACGAAACTTTTCGCGATGAAAATACAGCCATTTCAAGATCCACCATGGAGCGAACGGTCAGGCGTTTCAATGAAACTGGTAGCGTAAAGAATCACCAAATTCCAGGACGACCAATATCGGCGATTGGTGAAGAAAAACAGCTGGATATTATACAGTCATTTGTCGAAAATGTCCACCTCAGTATTCGCAAAGCAAATCAGCAACATGATATTAGTCGCATGTCTGTGCAAAGAATTTTGACGAAAATCAAGTTCCACCCGTATAAAATTCATCTGGTACAAGAGTTGAGCGAAGATGATTTTGATCGTCGTATGGAATTCTGCGACGTCATGATGAGAAAAACTGATGATGACACCAATTTTGTTTTCAATGTAGTTTTCTTAGATGAAGCTACTTTTGAATTGAATGGTCTTGTCAATAGACATAACTGCAGATTCTGGTCTGACAACAATCCTCACTGGACGCTGGAAGATCACACGCAATACCCTCAAAAGTTGAACGTCTGGGCAGGTATGTCGAATAATACATTGATCGGCCCATTTTTCATTGATGGAAATTTGAACTCTGCAAAGTATGAAGATATGCTGAGGAATAAAATAGTTACAGCAATCAGACGGATTGTGGGAGATAACTTTGCACATACATGGTTTCAACAAGACGGTGCTGGACCGCATTATGGTAAAGGTATACGAAACTTCTTAGACACGGAATTTTTCAACCGATGGATTGGAAGGAGAGGACAGATATAGTGGCCACCTGATTTATCACCGCTTGATTACTTCTTGTGGGGCTACCTGAAAGGCAAAGTGTATGCAACAAAACCAAGAAATTTAGAGGAACTTCGTCAAAGGATTGTTGAAGAAGCTGCACTCATTACTCCAGAAATCCTCAGAAATGCCATATGCAGTTTTTATGATCGAATAACTCATTGTAAAACAGTAAATGGTGCACAATTCGAGCATTTAATATAATTACCTTGACTGGCCGCACCACCGGCAGATCTCGCCTTGACTGACTGGATCATGTCTAAAACTTGCCTTGACTGTCTGAACCATGGTCATATCTTGCCTTGACTGGCTGGTTCATGCTCATATCTTGCCTTGACTGGCTGGTTCATGGTCATATCTTGCCTTGACTGGCTGGTTCATGCTTATATCTTGCCTTGACTGGCTGGATCATGGTCATATCTTGTCTTGACTGGCCGAATCACAGATCGATCTTACCTTCATTGGCTGCATTATTCTCCAATCTTTCTCCGAGCACAAAAGACATGCCAATCCGCCTGGGCAACCTCCGCGTGGTATTACATATCTTGGGTAATGCTAGTGCCGGCGATACTGTAACTTTGAAGCATTATAACTTGAAAAGTACTTCATGAAAAAATATTTTATTATAGCATTTTGGAAAGCTCTCGACAACAGCTACAGATTCTTGAATCAAAAATAGGGTGTTCCATTTAAGAAAATCAATGTAACCTTGACCTGACCTTAGCTACGCAACTCAAGGTCAAACTGATAGGATCAGTAAATAGATATTTTTAAACCATATAACTTTTGTCTGAAACACTTTTCTGTAAAACTTATATTTCCCGAGATATTTAGGTGTCCCGACCTTTTTGGGACACCCTGTATGACAAAGCCTATGTAATATATCATTCAAATGGAAGTCAACAACATTTGATATCAACAACTAGCGCTAAGTTAAATTTCATTTTTTCAACTCAAATGATGTGTATCATTTCTATAAAAGATTTGATATCCGTAATTGGATTACTAAATTAAATTCAACATTAAATTTAATTTTCTTCAAAAATATTTTTATTTTATTTATCTCAATATGCATCATTTGCATAAAAGATTTAATGTCAACAATTGGCGCTAAGTTAAATTTAAAAAATTTTATGTATTGTTCATATAAAAGATTTGATATCAACAACTAGCGCCAAATTAAATATTTAAATCCCATGCTAAATTAAAGAATATATAACATAACAGTGATAGGTGTCATTTTTATACAACTCACTGATGAAATTTTAGTATGTATCTTTATTTTCTTATTGAAGGATCCCAATCTAAGTGATTTTGATTTTTCTTAAAAGAAATTATATTACAATCCATTTAAGACTTTCTCTTTGATCCAAAAATAACAATAATTACATAATTTAATTTTACTTCAAAATACACATATCACAATATTACCGTACGTTACTCAAGTATTATCATAAAGAATTAAGAGAAAATCACAGTATAAATTTTAAAAAATTTAAATCAAATAAAAAAATTTTATTTAAAAACACTTGACGTTACTAGATCGAATAAGAAAAACAATGAAAACATTCTAAAAATAATAATGATTATATATAGGTATACGTACATATGAGCCCCTTAGTTGACAAGTGGCATAAGTCCAAAATTAGGAAAAATGCGTTTATCGTAGAAATACAAAGTATTAAGAATGGTTGTTTTATTTATCAATTTAATTTTAGAAAATCAATTTAACCTTGACCTGACCTTGGCTACGCAACCCAAGGTCAAACTGATAGGATCAGTAAATAGATATTTTTAAACCATATAACTTTTGTCTGAAACACTTTTCTGTAAAACTTATATTTCCCGAGATATTTAGGTGTCCCGACCTTTTTG